GCGTCCGTCTCTCCTCCTCCTCCTCACCCGTTATCACTGCACCGAGTGTCTGCCCCAGCACAGTGCCCGCGGTACAGCCTTGCAAACGCACGGCGCGAGTTTATAATTACCCACATCAGCTGAACCCGGAGCGTCTCGAGGCCCTGCCTCTGGAGCGTGGGGTGTCACCCGTGGGGGGTACGAGTGTGGGTGCGGCTCTGGGAAGGCTCCCTGTGACCCCAGAAAGGAGAGGTCCAGAGATGCCGACAGCCTGATCCTGGGCTGAGCCGAGCTGTTGCCAGACCCAGCCCATCGCGGGGAAGCTGTCACCTTCCCCCGTGTTTTCGGCTTGAAGCTCTGCCAGGCTGAGCTGGCTCCGAGCCTTCCCCGTGGCCCATCCCAGGGCCTGAGCTCCTCTCCCAGCTTTGCCCCTGTCCTGGCTGCAGCTGGGATAGATTTGATTTTCCTCCCAGTAGCTGCTGTGTTTCGGATTTAGCACAAGGAGAATGTCGGTAACACTGATGTTTTCAGTTGTTGGTATGAAATCAAGGACTTCTTTCCAGTCTCCCACATTCAGCTGAGGAGCAGGCGTGTAGGAGCTCGGAGGGAGCAAATCCAGGCAGCCAGCCCAAGCTGGCCCGTGGAAATGTTCCATACCATGGTTGCAAACAGGGGCTGGCCGGGGGGCAGGAAGATTGCTTTCTCATTTCCGTGGGTTTGAATCCTCTCTGGCCCAAGAGTTTGAACTCTTCCAGGAGTTCATTGTTTGGGGGAAGTTTTGTGAAATTCGCAAAATCCCTGAGTTGCGGGTTCCGCGATCACTGCTCGGGGACCAGCTCTGAATCAGTCATCAGGTGGTGAGAAAATTCTATTTTGTATAGTTTGGTTTGCATATTATAGAATGATAGAATCACAGAATGGCTTGGGTTAGAAGGGACCTTAAAGATCATCTAGTTCCCCCCCCCTGCCATGAGCAGGGACATCTCCCACCAGCCCAGGGTGCTCAGAGCTCCATCCAACCT